AACACCTATGTCTTGGAGATGATCCTGCCCACTGCCATCTCTCACAACTAGTTTCTGAATACCCCTTACTGACCCCATGATCCCAAACTTTTTAAATTTTATTTTTAACTGGAGAATAATTGCTTTACAATGTTGTGTTGGTTTCTGCCACAGAACAATGTCAATCAGCTACAAGTGCACACATGTCCCCGCCTTGAACTCTCTCCCACCCCCACTCCCTCCCACCTCTCTAGGTCGTCACAGAGAACTGGACTGAGCTCCCTGTATTAGACAGCAGCTTCCCACTAGCTATCTATTTTACATATGATTTACATGCATGTATTTCAATGCTACTCTCTCAACGCTTCCCACGTCTCTCAGCTCCCCACTGCTCCGCCATGTCTGAGTGTGCAGTGCCAAGCAGACAGGAAGAAGGATGTTTGGCCACTGGGCTCCTCTGCCTGGGGGGCTCAGAGCCAGTCAGGAAGATGTCAGAAGGGGGCGACTGGTGGGGCCCCTGACTTCCTACATATTTCACTACCTAAAAAATCCAGGCTCCAGTGAAGTCCACACAAACCTAAGAATTTAGTCTTAGACCAGTCTGGCCCTCCTCTTCCCACAGGTTATAACTATCACATTGAGAGGCTCCTAAAGAAATCGAAAATGACCCCCACAATAATAGCTTGCTGGCAAAGGAATGGCTTACTTCAGGAATTATTTTCAGTTCACTGTTGTTTAGTCACTAGGTCGTGTCCAATTCTCTTGTGACCCCATGGACTGTAGACTGCCTGGCTCCTCTATCCATGGGATTTCCCAGGCACTGATACTGGATTGGGTTGCCATGTCCTCCTCCCCAGGGTATCTTCCCAACCCAGGGATTATAAAATCTGGTTAACATAAGCTCGTCATGATGCAGCTGAGACTTAGACTTTCCTGACCACCAAAGTTGCTCCAGTCAGGAACTCAAGATAACGTGTGTGCAGAAGGTCCACTTCCTGCCACCTCTTGCTGCCTCTCCTGGTCCAGATCATCGCACCTTTCACTTGGGCCACCTCAGTGATTCCCAACTCATTTCTCAATTCCATGGTCCCCCATCTCCTACCCACTTGACCCAACCGTCTCTTCTGTGCATGAATCACATCAGGGCATTCCCTTTCAAAAGCCCTGCGAGAACTTTTACTGTACCCACGATAAAAGTCAGTCTCTTTGCATGACTGCAAGGGCCTGAATGGTCAGGCCCCTGCCTGTTCCCTCAGATTCATCTCATGACCTGGAGAGCAGTCAGTCCTTTCTGTCAGGCTCTGTGACCTTCCCACACCTCTGCCAGCCAGGCTCACCATCCTGCCCCTCACCAGCCTCAAGTTCTTTAGGTGTCAGCATAAACGTTACCTCTTCAGAAAGGCCTCCTCTGACCACACTTTCTAAGTGAAACTCTTCTGCTTTTCATTCTGCAAAACTGGTTCACTCTTTACTTTCCTCATAGTGCTAATTTCAAGCTATAATTTAAAAATGTGTGTGTTCACTTTTTTATTGTCTGCCTCTCTCACTAGAGGGTAAGATATACACGGCCAGGAAATTTGCTGAGCACACAGCAGGATGTAAATATTTGCTGAATTAATAAATTCATGAATTTAATTGCCTATTATATCTTAATGCATATGAATTACTCCTTTAATGAGCGTCCATCACATTCCTTACACATTCCAAGGCTCCACTGGCCACTGTTCTGTCTTGTCACTTTCCAGCAAAGGCATCTGCTACAGGGATCAGAACTAGGAGGAAGGTTTCTTTATGGGTCGTTTCTCTAGAAGCGGAAGCCTGAATTAAAGGGGTAAGTGGTTGGCCAACTTCACGTACTGCTCCATATGACAGTGCTGCATGGAGGTGCAAGAGGCAGCCCCACTTAGGTGTGCAACGAACACATGATTACAGAACAGTAAGTCTGTCTTTTTAGCTCAAGTTTATTTTTCATTGCTTTGAAAATGGTTGCTTCCTTCTATTCTGATGACATCCCATTTCAGTCTGAACACACAGCTCATATGCATACAAATGATGGAAAAGGAATGTTAGCAGTGTATGAGGCACCTTCAGTTTGATGTGCATATCCTAAGGCAGGGAACACAGACACTTTTCCTCCAAAAACAGACCACTGGGGCTGAGACCAGATCCGACTGCCCCTCGCCTGCGCAGTGGGAGGAGTAGTTGCCCTTTCTCCTGGTTCCTCAGAGTAAATTAAACCAACAAATTAAGTTAGACAGCACTTTAAGCACAAACCTTACTAATGCCATCATTGATTTAGTAAATTAAAATGTCTTAAGCTGACTACAAATGAAATGGTGATAGGCCTCACTGCATGATGGGGCTTGAGGCCTGGCTCCTGGAGACTGGTCTCCTCATCTAGGATACTCTCACCCCCAGGACCACCTGGTACGGTCCTAATCAGATCTGCATCAACGGAATTCTGGAGGAACTAATCCTTCCTTGTTGCTTCCCCTGCCCGTGATACTGTACCAGGACTAGGCTGTCAGCTCCAGAGACACAGAGTTGCCATCAAATGACTGAGGGTTTCCTGGGCCTGAAAACTCAACATGGAAGGAGACGATGACCACACGTCACACAACTGGACTCTGCCTAAAAACCGAGTCCAGGTATAACAGAGCATTTGCCAGCAATGAAACTGTCTTGGGCACAACTGTCTCCCCCAGGACCATGGTCCCTCCATCACTGCAGAAAAGCATGTGTCAACAGAGGGGATATATTATATATACATATATATATATATACACACACACACATGTATAGCTGATTCACTGCTGTATAGCAGAAACGAACATAACAGTGCACAGTAACTATACTCCAATACAAATTTTTTTTTAAATAAAAAAAAAAAGAAAAGAAAGAAAAGCACCAGTGCCTCCATCACCCTGTACTAAGTCACCTAGCTCCTATCCCCTGAGCTCTCTGGGCATCCCGAGTGGTCGGGGATGCTGGTGGCCCCCTGGAGCTGAGCTGAGGTCCCTGGGTCCTCACACGCAGACAATGTGCTTGGGCAGCACTCATGTCAGTCTGTCCCCATCCTCCGGATAGAGTCAAGCTGACATTTTAAAAAATTATTTTTCATATTTTGTGTTGCTCAATGAATCCAGATTTCTCTGGAGACAGACCTCTAATTAATAAGTGTACAAACCTAGTTCTACATACATGAAAAAAATTTTTTTTTCTGACTCAAGACAAAACCAATGGGTCTGCTGTCTAAAGCATCAAAAGAGGAGTAGAGCATGATTTAAAACCAAGAAAGGACAGGTCACTTCACACTCCTCTCCAGGTGTGTATCTCTGCCCTCCTTCTGAGCGGGATGAATAAACTGTTTTCCTGTGTGCTCTCCCATGCATTGTGTTAGGCATCTAATCATAAATATTGGACCTGTTTTTACAGTTGTTGCCTCCTTGACACAGTCCTGCTTACAAACAGGGGCAAGAGTCCGGGCCACTTTCGCTTCTCGCCTCTAGTCCCTGGTGGTCTAGTGGCTAGGATTCTTGGTTTTCATCCAGGTTCCCCAGGTTTAATTCCTGGCCGGGGAACTAGGATCTCTCCCTCTGAGATCAGTATCATCCCAGCTCCTGTGCAAAGTGAAACTCTGGTCTTTCCATATTGCTACCCAGTGTGACTGAGCCCCAGGCCCTTCCCAGGCTTAGGTCAGAGCTGAAAGGAGGCATGCGTGGAAGCAGGGAGCACCAGGAAGGGAGGCTGTCTGCAACATGCCAAGGTTAAAAACAGTTTCCTCCTCACCATTTCCAAACCGAGCAAGCTTTGCTTGGTGAAACGCTGGAAACATCCACATCTGAACAGTGGTCCAGACAGGCCCATGTTCACCCAGTTCTCTCTCCTGCCTCACCAACCTGGACTCCTGGCAAATGTCCTTTACATTAACCTGGGTGATGAATCTTGAGGTAGAACCAGCTCACTATCTACAAGTAGATGTTTACAGTGTTTCCCTTCCATTCAGACTGCTCTCTTTTCCATCCACTGGTCACTGAGGCAGACTTCCTGCTCTGATGGAGTCGTGGGCTCTAGGTAGGTAATTCTATTAGCGAGAACAGTCCACTTGCTCAGCAAGTGTCAGCAAGTAATCTCACCTGATTTAAAGACCGATTGAAATCTACTTACAAGTGAAAACTAGGTGAGCCAGCATGGTTTCATATATAAGCAAGACCAAAATGAAGACGATATGAAAAAAAATTGTGGAACTTTGTACTATGATGAATAAAGTCCCTTAAGAGGTACGTTTTCTAAAGCAAAGTACTTGTTAGGGTCAGGATGTGGGAAGTGCACTAATAGGCTCAGGATTAGGGTTTGGTTTCCCTTTCATTCTCCCTTCAGACCCCACAATTTGGGGACAAGCTTCTCAACTTGGTAACAACATACTTGTGTAAGCTTCATAATCAAGGGACAGAGACTCTATTCCATGTACTTAAGAAGGGAAATTTCCCTTCATTTCTGAAGATATACTTAAGGAAATGTGATACAACCTGATAAGAGTCTTGAAAATATCTCTTAAAAATATAGATCATCTTTTTCTTGGTGACACCTGGGAGAAATTTTGATATGAATGGTGAAATTTTTGACAGTATCCCATGAATCGAGCAAAAGTTAAACCAAACTGATTCATCTTACCTTCTTAAGGTTTTCTGGAAATAAGTGGGTCTTTTATCTCAGCAGGGTTCTATCACTCCTCTTCTTACCTGTCTGCTTCTATGTGGCTTCCTCACCACATCATCTGGTCTACCAGACAGGGTCCTAACAAACCATCACCCCAGCTGCCCTTTGCAGCATCAGCCACTGTGCTGACTCTTCTTACCTGAACCTCAAGTATTGCCCAACCCCAGCACCCTCTTAGACTGGAAACACCAGGGTGAGGACTTAGTTTTTCATTCAGGCTGTGAAAGCTGGCAACCCCTAACAGGTCACACCTGAGAAAACACCAGTTTTAAAATGCTACTGTGTAAATGAAAAACACCTACCTTTCTTGTAGAATAAGTTTGTTCTCTTTCTTCCAAAAGTCTTTAAAGTCAGAGCTGAATTCATGCCAGATACCGAAGAAAACATTTGGGGACACTTCCTTCTCTCCAATTTTTGGTCTCATGAAGAAATAGGCTGTAGTCTCCAAAAAGCTGTGAAAGCACATACACATACACACACACACACACACACACACACACACACACACACAAGTATAAAAGCTATAATTACTTTCCAATATGGGGTATTCTTTCTCCATCCAAAGGCGGATTTCATTCAGGCAGTTATTATTACCAAGAGGACTCAACTCCTCAGGCACCAACAGGAGTTCTCTTAAGGTTTCATGTTAGAGATTTTGGACATAGATGCTAGCACCGGATAAGAGTCCTTCATATACTATCCTGGTAACTATCCAGGTAACTATCCCTGGTCCATCCATTTTCAAAATTAATCACTATGTGTCTGACCTATTTCAGAAATGAACCTGTAATCAAGTTGGGACATAAGGGAAGTTGTGTGTCTATATGTTTTTTTCTAGACTCTAAACAAAAGAAATACCAGCCCTCTGCCCCTAAACTAACATGTATCTTACATATATTGTACATGTTATTTTAGTACATGTACATGTTATATAATACATGTATTGTACTGCTTCTATACTCTTTGACTTCCTATATTGCTGATAGGGAAAAATCAACAGCCCTGGGAGATACTGACAGAGGCTCCCCCTGAAGACCATGGTAACAAAGCTGAGTGGGTGTAAGTAGGGCGGCCAGCATCCTGACAGTGGCAACAGAGCCTATCTCCAGAAGGTGCCCTCAAGGCCGCTTCATATTACATGTACATGATGCTCAGAAGAGTTTCAAAGGGTTGACAGGCAGCACACAACTAGTAAATGGTAGATTTATGCTGCATCTTGACGTGGACCCCCCCAGACTACAGAAGTGTTCACTGTTTAAGCCATCCAGTCTATGGCATTTTGTGATAACACTCAGAATTAAGGCAAATGATCTAGATTTTAAAATACATAAATTTCAGGGGGCAAAGTCTATTATAAACACTTATACATATATGAACTAATTGGAGGTTTGAAAAGAAACTGGGTATTTGATGAGATTAGAGATTATTGTTATTGTTGTGGATGATACTGCTGGTGGTTATTTTTTAAAGGGGATCTTTTAGAGATACATACTAAAATATACATGGATGACATCATACCTATTGAGGACTTGCTTCAAAAACAGTGTGGGAGGGGGCAAGTGGGCAGGGGTATAGATGAAACCAATTCAGGAACCGCTGAAACTGGGTGATGAATGTATGATGATCACTGTACATTCTGTTTACTGCCTCTGAATCACAATTCAGTTCTTCACCTGCATGGTGTTTAATTTACCTACCCCTGCGTCCTTTAGCAAAGTATCAAATTCATTGTCTTCTATTTCTGGCATCCCAGATGTCTTTTTACTGGATTTTCCTCCAGATCCTAAGAGTATGCAGACTTCTGCATCTATAAATAATATTCTCTCAGCCATGCAGACTCATTGAAAGACACCATTATTTATATACAAATGCTTTATAATTCAATGTTCCCACGTCCTCACTCATTTTAAAATCTGGCTTCATAGACCACCATTCCACTACTTTTCTCTCAAGAGTCTCTGATCTAAACCTATAATTTTTAGCAACTTTCCTTCTCATGACCTAAAATAATGGAACCATTACTGTCTTGTTTACTTGAACTTGAAAGTGAGAAATTATTAACAGCTTTCTTTTGCTCCTCTAGGTTAAACTGATGCAAACTGAATTAAAAATATTCCACTTTCCCCTTATAAAAGTCTCAGGAGTTTACAGGAGACAGTTGACATAAAGGTCACCTATTTCATGGCCTAACTTTGTATTAATTTTGTATTTAAAAAAAAAAAGTTGAAAAGATAATATAGAGAATTCCAATATAGCCTCCATTCAACTTCTCCTAGTATTAACATCTCACACAACCACTAAGAGATAACACTGAAAATAAGAGGATTCTCTTGATAGGACCAGTACAAGTTATCTTCTGAGTAAAGTGAGTGAAACTGTATAGGTGAGTAGNTCCTTGCTGTCCAAGGCACTCTCAAGAGTCTTCTCCAGTACCACAGTTCAAAAGCATCAATGCTTTGGCACTCAGTCTTCTTTATGGTCCAACTCTCACATCCATACTTCTGATGATTACTGGGAAAACCATAACTTTGGCTATACAGACCTTTGTCAGCAAAGTGATGTCTCCGCTTTTTAATATGGTAGCTAGGTTTGTCACATCTTTTCTTCCAAGGAGCAAGCGTCCTTTAATTTTATGGCTGCAGTCACCATCCACAGAGATTTTGGAGCCCAAGAAGATATAAAGTTTGTCACTGTTTCCACTTTCCACTATTTTCCCATCTATTTGCTACTGTTTCCACTTTTCCCCCATCTATCAGGCGAAATAATGGGCTGGACAAAGCACAAGCTGGAATCAAGATTGCCGGGAGAAATATCAATAACCTTAGATATGCACATGACGCCACTCTTATGGCAGAAAGCAAAGAGAAACTAAAGAGCCTCGTGATGAAGGTGAAAGAGGAGAATGAAAAAGCTGGCTTAAAACTCAGCATTCAAAATACTAAGATCATGGCATCCAGTCCCATCACTTCATTGCAGATAGATGGAGAAACAATGGAAACTGTGACAGACTTTATTTTCTTGGGCTCCAAAATCACTGCAGATGGTGACTGCAGCCATGAAATTAAAAGACGCTTGCTTTTTGGAAGGAAAGCTTTGACAAACCTAATGTAGTCCCATCACTTCATTGCAAATAGATGGAGAAACAATGGAAACTGTGACAGACTTTATTTTCTTGGGCTCCAAAATCACTGCAGATGGTGACTGCAGCCATGAAATTGAAAGACGCTTGCTTTTTGGAAGGAAAGCTTTGACAAACCTAATGTGATAAATCGCTCAGTCAGGTCCAACTCTTTGCAACTCCATGGACTGTAGCCCACCAGGCTTCTCTATCCATGGAATTCTCCATGCAAGAATACTGGAGTGAGTTGTCATGCCCTTCTTCAGGGGATCTTCCTGACCTAGGGATCGAACCCGGGTCTCCTGAATTGCAGGCAGATTCTTTACCGGTGACAAACATAGAAAGTGTATTAAAAAGCTGAGGCATTACTTTACTGACAAAGGTCTGTACAGTCAAAGCTATGGTTTTTCCAGTAATCATGTATGGATGTGAGAGCTGGACTATAAAGAAGACCTAGTGCCAAAGAAACTGATGCTTTTGAACTGTGCTGTTGGAGGAGATTCTTAAGAGTCCCTTGCACTATAAGGAGATCAAACCAGTCAATCCTAAAGGAAACCAATCCTGTATATTTATTGGAAGAACTGATGTTGAACCTGAAGCTCCAATATTTTGGCTGCCTGAGGCGAAGAGATGACTCATTAGAAAAGACCATGATCCTGGGAAAAATTGAATGCAGAAGGGGAAGACAAATGATGGGATAGCTGAATGGCATCACTGACTCAATGGACATGAGTTTGAGCAAGCTTTGGGAGATGATGAAGGTCAGGGAAGCCTGGTGTCCTGCAGTCCGTGGGGTCACAAAGAGTCAGACAGGACTGAACAACATTTGCCATGAGGTGACGGGACCTGATGCCATGATCCTAGCTTTCTGAATGTTGAGTTTTAAGTCAGCTTTTTCATTCTCATCTTTCACCCTCATCAAGAGGCTCTTGAGTTCCTCTTCACTTTCTGCCATGGGTGGTGTCATCCGCATATCTGTGGTTATTGACATTTCTCTTGGCAATCTTAGTTCCAGCTTGATCTTCATCCAGCCTGGGATTTTGCATGATGTGTTCTGCATATAAGTTAAATAAGCAGGGTGACAAATATAGCTTTGATGTACTCCTTTCCCAATTTTCAATCAGTTTGTTGTTCCATGTCTAGTTCTAACTATTGCTTCTTAACTTGCATACAGGTTACTCAGGAGACAGGTAAGCTGTTCTGGTATCCCCATCCCTTTAAGAATTTCCCATAGTTTGTTGTGATCCACACAGTCAAAGACTTTAGCATAGTGAATGAAGCAGAAGCAGATGATTTTCTGGAATTACTGTTGCTTTTTCTATGATCCAACGGATGTTGGCAATGTGATCTCTGGTTCCTCTGCCTTTTCTAAACTCAGCTTGAACATCTGGAAGTTTTCGGTTCACACACTGTTGAAGCTTAGCTTGAAGGATTTTGAGCATAACCTTGCTAGCACGTGAAATGAGTGCAGTAGTTTGAACATTCTTTGGCATTGCCCTTCTTTGGGATTGGAATGAAAACTGACCTTTTCCAGTCCTGTGGCCACTGCTGAGTTTTTTCTTTCATATTGAGTGCAGTACTTTAACAGCATTATCTTTTAGGATTTGAAATCATACAGTAACCCTATTTTTAGTTTTCTAAGGAACCACCATAATGTTTCCCATAGAAGCTGCACCAGTTTACATTCCCACCAGCAGTGTAGGAGGGCTCTCTTTTCTCTATACTTTCTCCAGCAGTTATTATTTGTCAACTTTTTGAAAGTGGCCATTTTGACAGGTGTGAGGGGATACTTCACTGTAGTTTTGATTTGTGCCTCTCTAATAATTAGCCACACTGAGCATTTTTCATGTGCCTGTTGGCCACCTGTAAGTCTTCTTTGGAGAAATGTCTGTTTAGATTTTCTGCCTACTTCTTGGCTGGGTTGTTTGTTTCTTTAATACTGAGTTATATGAGCTCTTTTTATATTTTCCATGATAGCACCCTATTGGTTACATTATTTCTTTCTCTCCTTCTGGGTAGCCTTTTCATTTTAAAAAAAATTTTTATGTCTTCCTTGGCTGTGTGAAAGCTTTTAAATTTGATTAGGCCTCATTTATTTATTTTTAAAATATTTATTTATTTCTGGCTATGCTGCCTCTTTGTTGCTGGACGCAGGCTTCCTCTAGTGGTAGCGAATGGGGACTACTCTCCATTTGGGGTGCAGGGGTTTCTCACTGTGGCAGCTTCTCTTTTGTGGAGAATGGACTCTAGAACATGGGCTCAGTAGCTGTGCTGCATGAGCCTACTTGCTCCGCGGCAGGTGGGATCTTCCCAGACCGGGGATCAAACCCATGTCCCCTGCATTGGCAGGTGAATTCTTAACCACTGGACCACCAGGAAAGTCCAGGTCTCATTTATTTTTTGTCATTTTCATTTAGTTAATTAATTTTAAAATTTTGTTTTTATTTTATAAATTTTATTTACTTTTATTTAATTATTTTATTTATTTAAACTATTTAAAAAATTTTACTTGGCTGTGCTGGGTCTTAGCTGTAGCACACAGGATCTTAGTTG